TAATCTAGATGTCCAAATAATGTAGGCTTTGCCCGTATGCTCCCATAGACAATACATTGGGAATTCAATCTTTTTGCAATCTTTTGGACACTTTGCTTATAATAAAACTTCTTCTCATTGTTTACACTACTTCTGTCTAACTATGCAAACACTAGTCTCTTCATACTGATTGAAAAATCGTTACCAAATGTCATATTTGTACATGTTATTAATTTGACTAAAAATGATTTTTCAATTACTAATGCAAACAAGGTAGTGAAGAATTTCGGGCAAAACTTCGAGAAAGTATTCATTGTTTTCATGGATATCACAAAAATCAATGGTTTGAATGTTTCGACACTTTTTGATGATTTTATTCATTGTTGTGAAGATTGGAAAGTCTTGGCGTTGAATGAAATAATCACTGAAATCAATGCACACAACACTCCTGAAGACAGTCCTCTGGAACTGTTTGGACACACATTCCAATCGAAACCGATCTTTGATTGAGAGATGAGACACAAGAAGTGCACACAAATCATCACCGAATCTGTCCATTGAGTTCTTCGCATACATTTGTGGCTAAATGTGAGACAAAAACAATGAAAACTCAATAAACAGTGAATTGTTTGTGAAATACCTGTTGAATGTTGTCTTCATTGCCGTCATCTGTGGTCTCGAGTGATGTCTTCTTGTGTTTCGTCTGTTGTTCCATATCTTGGGATCAAATGAAGTGATTGTATGAATGAATTAAATCTCTTTTATGACAAAACATGTGCTTATATTGCGATTCAATGCAAACCCAACACAAAGACTGACATCTATTCACTAATATTTCATTTCAACATTTTATAACACTTTTAGTTTAAACTTTGAATAACTTTTTAAATGCCATTTAAATCATAAATAATAAAAATTATATTTTATTATTAAACAAAATTATAAACAAATTAATACAGTTTTTAACAAAACAATTATTAATAAAATACATGTAATTATGAATTTCTAACAAAATATTAATTATTTTAGAAATTATTCTCATTTAAAGTTTTGAATCAAACAATTTGTAGAATAAAAGCATTTTGGATATAAATATTAATAATTGTATTCAAAATATTACAATCAGTTTAAATTTGAAGAAACAATTGAATTGGTTTACAGTGTTTAGGATTTAGGAGTGATTAAGTTTAGGAGTTATTCACAATTTATTAATTATCACAAATAAGATAAATATAAAACCAATTGATTTACATTAAAAAATAGTTTCTTTTTAAGCATTTTTATTTTGAATAAAACTTCTTCTCATAATTTCTATGGATTTCAATGTTTTTGAGTTTAGGACTCGAAGACAACACAGCATTCAAATCATTATCCGAGAGACGTTTGTATTGATAACAGTGAATGACAAGCATTTGAAGCGCCGTTAGTCTTGAAATGTGATCCAAACACTGGCCATTAAAATCGCGACAATCAATGGACAGGACTTGAAGTCGTGGCCATTGTTTCTGACAATTGCCTAATAATTTGCAATCTATTTGCGGGCAATAAATGGATAAATGCGTTAATCTTTGGCCCGGAATCGAGAGATCAAACGCTATAGTCGATTGTGAACAGCCTTTTCTAAGCCATAAATTCAATCGTTTTAATCGTTGAAACACTTTCAATGAATCCAATGTCTGGACATTAGTGTCTGTGATCTGAAAATCCAATATAAGTGACAATCGTTGCAATTGTTTGCAGTTTAAGCCAATTGTACGCAAAGACTCAGACAATGAGTTCTCGTATTGATGTAAAGGAAGTACTAATTTCTTTAATTGTGTCAATCGTGACAATTGTTGCGCTAATTGTGTGTAACTCTCGATATTGTAATGATAGACATCAAGACATGTGAGGGACTGATTCCCGGACACGAATTCAGACAATTGTTGGTTATTATGACTGCCATTGAGACCAAAAGATAACAAATTCTTCGCTAATAATTGTCCAGAAGTAGTGTCGAAGACATGCGACAAATCACTGTCTGTCAAATGAGACAATCGGTGGCAATGAATGAGTGATTCTTTCGCCTCCATTTCAATATCACCGATAAGTGTGATGAGTGGCGCCAACTCTCTGATCCATCGGTTGCTATTCGACGACAAATTGCAGTAAATTTCCCGCAAATTCGGGAATTCGCGAAGAATTTCGGCCAAAACTTCGAGAAAGTATTTATTGTTTTCTTCGATAAAACAAAAATCAATGGTTTGAATGTTTCGACACTTTTTGATGATTTTATTCATTGTTTTGAAGATTGAAATATCGTCTTCGCGTTGAATGAAGTGATCATTGAAATCAATGCACACAACACTCCCGAAGACTGTCCTCTGGAACTGTTTGGATACACTTTCGTATTTAAAACAGTCTTCGATATGGAGATAAGACACAAGAAGTGCACACAAATCATCACCGAATCTGTCCATTGAGTTCTTCGCGTAAATCATTGCCTAAAATGTGAGTAAAAAACAATGAATACTCAATAAACAGTGAATTGATTGTCAAATACGTGTTGAATGTTGTCTTCATTGCCGTCATCTGTGGTCTCGAGTGATGTCTTCTTGTGTTTCGTCTGTTGTTCCATATCTTGGGATCAAATGAAATGATTGAATATTTTTGTGACAAAACATGTGATAATATTCCGATTGAATGCAAACTCAACACAAAGTGTTGACAACAAGACTGACATCTATTCACTAATATTTTCATTTCAACATTTTATAACACTTTTTGTCACTTTTAGTCTAAAGAATAACTTTTTAAATGCCATTTAAATAATAAATAATAAAAATTATATTTTATTATTAAACAAAATTATAAACAAATTAATGCAGTTTTTAACAAAATAATTATCATTAAAATGGATGTAATTATGAATTTCTAACAAAATATTAATGATTTTAGAAATTATTCTCAATTAAAGTTATGAATCAAAGAATTTGTAGAATAAAAGTATTTTGGGTACAAATGTTCAGACATTTCAATGCACTCTAGTTTATGACTTGTGGACAACACATCACACAAACTATTATATAATTTTGTTTAATATTTATATAAAAACAAATTCACATAAAATATTATCTACAAAAACATTAAACATTTAAACCATTTCTACTATAAAAGGATTTAATGGATAAGTTGTCACTCATTTCAATCTTCTTGAGTTTAGTGGCTTTGGACACAAAGTATTCAAAAGCATTATCTCTCAAACCTTCCGATTGGAAGTATTTAAAGACCACTGTTTGCAGCGCCGGTAGGCTTAAGATGTGATCCAAACACTCGGTGTAAAAATTTAGACATTCAATGGACAGGTAGTGAAGTCGTGGCCAATGTTTGCCGCAATTATCCAATAATTTCTCACTCATGTTATGCAAAATGAGTGTTAAATGTGTTAATCGGTGGCAGAGTTTCAACGGTTCCAACAGTTCCTCGTCGACGGCTTCAGTAATGATTAAACGCAAACGTTTTAATCTGTGATAACATCTCAACGAATCCAATGATTGGTGATTGAGATTAAAATTATCTGATCTCAAGTCAAGTGTCAATCGTGTGATTTGTTTGCAGTTTAAGCCAATTGTACGCAAAGACTCACACAATATGTTATTGTAATCCAAAATCTGTATATTTAGTGTCAAATCCCGTAATTGTGTTAATCGTGACAATTGTCCGCACATTTCGGTCAGTGTTTCGGGAATTGAATTATTTTTATGAATTACGACTAGACTTTTGAGGCACTGATTGTGTGCCACGAATTCAGACAACAGTTCCTTATTATCACTGGATTTATAAGAAAACAAAAATTTCTTCAAATTCTTCGCCAATAGTCCTCCGGAAGTGTTATCGAAAACATCGGACAATGAATTGACATATAATTGTGACAATTGTTGGCAATAAATGAGTGACTGTTTCTCCCGAGAGTGTAAGCAATCAATTCTTGTGATCATTGATCCAAACAATGGAAACAAATTAACGCTATTTGAGAATAAATTGCAGTAAATTTCCCTCAAATGCCGGCAATTGTCTCGAAATACGTCCAACACTTCGGGAATGTGTGTCCCATCTCTTGGAGATATTCCTCGAAAGTCAATGCATTGAATGTTTGGACACTTTTTGGCAATTGTTGTCAATAATTCAATATTAGGTGAAAATCTAGTTTTCTGTTGTCTCATAAGTCTTTGTTCAACAGTCAGGTCCACAACACTCTCGAAGACAGTCCTCTGGAACTGTTTGGACACACATTCGTAACGAAACCGATCTTCGAATGAGAGATAAGACACTATAAGTGCACACAAGTCGTCACCGAATCTGTCCATTGAGTTCTTCGCCTAAAATGTGAGAAAAAATAATTAAAACTCAATAAATAGTAAATTGCTTATCAAATACCTGTTGTTTGTCTTCATTGCCGTCATCTGTGGTCTCGAGTGATGTCTTCATGTGTTTCATATGTTGTGTCATAACTTGGGATCAATTGAAGTGATTGTTTGAATGAATAGTATTTTAGTCACAAAAATGTCATAATATTTACATTCAATTGAATGCAAACAGAGTTGAAGTGAAACCCAATAAGACTGACGACAGGACTGACATCTATTCGCAAACATTTTCACATATAACTGTTATTTGTGTTAATTAGAAATGTTTAATATTTAATACTTTTAATTACAGAATTAATTAATACTTTTAATTATATTGTTAATATTTATTAAGTCTAAAATTAAGACTTAATTAAATGATTTAATTAATTTTATTTTATTTACTAACTATAGTTTATTACTTTTATCCGCTTTTAACTCTACTTTTGAATTCATTGTGAAAATTGTATTTTTAATAACTATTTTATTAATTATTTTAAGTTTATTTTAATTACATTTTAATTATTTTAATTTATAATTACATAAATGAATAATAATTATAATATATTTTTCAATAATAACAAGAAGTAATGAACAAACAGTTTAGAAATAATTAAATCTATAAAATAAAATATGAATCAACTAAACAGTGATTAGAGATTACAATCACTACACAATCAAATCCATTAAAAAAGTATTAAACAGTATTAATATTTCATTAATTCAATTGTATTTATAAATCGTTAAACATTTTTACTTATAATCTAGATGTCCAAATAATGTAGGCTTTGCCCGTATGCTCCCATAGACAATACATTGGGAATTCAATCTTTTTGCAATCTTTTGGACACTTTGCTTATAATAAAACTTCTTCTCATTGTTTACACATAATCTAGATGTCCAAATAATGTAGGCTTTGCCCGTATGCTCCCATAGACAATACATTGGGAATTCAATCTTTTTGCAATCTTTTGGACACTTTGCTTATAATAAAACTTCTTCTCATTGTTTACACGGATTTCAATTGCTTTTAGTTTAGGACTCGAAGACAACAAGTCATAGAAATCATTGTCATTCAGACGATTGCTTATCATGTCTTCAATGACAAGCATTTGCAGCGCCGGTAGTCTTGAG